GTGCCTGGGCTGTGAGTCAGCGGCCTCTTGGAGGTTCGTCGGGGTCTCGTGGGATCCTGCTCGATGGCCTCTTGGGGACAATTATTGACGCTTCGCGTATCCCCACCAGCCCACCCAGAAACGAATCTGGTCTGGAGGGGGGGGCGGGGAGGACCCTGACTCAAGGGTCTCGGGTGAGGCGCCGCTTCCCTTCTCCTTGTGTAATAAGGGGAAGGGCGCAACACACTGTGATCTTACATGCGAATATACACTGCCCTCAGGCCCTTGCCCGTTCTGTCTTACATGTGGTATGTCTTATTGCGTGATAGTGGTCAAGGCAACAATGGGCGCTCTTGGGGTGGCCCGCGAGACCTTTCCAGAGATTATCACTGCCCCAAGACGGACCAATATGGACTCAAGGCACGCCCAGGAGGACCAACGAAGCCCCCAAAACTGTCCAAGAGCGCTCCAAGACGCTTGAGATGGCCCCAAGACGGCCCGACATGGTTCCACGATGTCCCACGAGCGCTCCAAGCGGGCCCCCACAACGCGCCAAAATCCAACCAGCCCCTTTATGGCGTAAGTGGTCTAGATCGTTTCTTCTTCCCACCCGCATTCTTCCCCATTCGGGGAGGGGTGCGTCCCTCCCCCTTACCCCCGTCGCCTGGACCTGGGCGGGGGGGGGGTGGGGAGCGGGGGTCGCTGGTATTTGGAGCGTCCAAGGTGGCCCAAGACGGCTCGAAGAGCGCCTCAGGGAGCCAAATATGACTTCCAATATGGCTCGAGATATCCCAAGACGCTTCAAGGTGGCTCCGAATATGTTCCAAGAAGCCCCAAGTCCGCCCAAAGACGGTTCCAAGAGGTCAAGTGGCTTCCCAAGGAGGTCTCAACGAGGCCCAACTCCTCCAACAACCAAAAGACAATTAATGATGTTTGCCGTTTTGGCTTGTTCGTTTCCGACGACCATCCAAGGCCTCAAGATGGCTCCAATATGGCCCAAGAAGGCACCAATGTTGGCCCAAAAGGGCCACAACATTGCTGAAAGCAAGCACACGAGCACACCACGAGCGCCCCTAAGAGGGGACCATGAGGCGATGTTGGGTGTTCCCCAGGGGGGGGGGAAGGGGGGGCGCGATGTAAGGAACACATGGTTTTTCTTTGGTCGATATCTTCCGCTATGGCCCCAACAGGCGCCCATGCCCCAAGAGCCCCCCAAATGACCCCAATATGGCCCCCAAGAGGCGCCCCAAGAGCCCCCCCACCTCCCCCCACACGAGGCCCCAGGAGCGCCCCAGCCGAGACGCCCGAGAGCCTCTCTGGACCGCCAAGAGACCCCCAACACCCCCCAAGAGGCATCCAAAAGGCTTCCAGGAGAGGAGACATCCGAGAGGTGTCCCAGATGCTTCTGGCTATTATGCTGGCCCTCGTCCTCAGCATCCTCCTCTGCCCCATCCTCATCCTCATCATATTCCTCCTCATCCTTCTCCCCCTTCTCCTCCTCTTCCTCCTCCTCCTCCTCCTCCTCCTCCTCCTCCCCCTCCTCCTCCTATTCATCGTCCTTCTCCCCACTCCCTCATCCATCCATCCATCCAGCCTCCCCTTTCCCCTCATCCACCCTTCGCTCGGTTCGGTTGTCCCCATCTTTGCTCCCGCCATTCCCTGGTCACCTCAACTCGCCTGGGCTCTGTTTTGCAGGTCGTCGGGCCCGATGGCCAGTGACAGGCCAGCCTTTTGTGGCGCGCATGGCCACACCCCAAAAACAAACCTGCGGAGGCTGTTTTCCAAAAGCGTGAACAAACAACAAACCTGGAAGCCACAGCGCCCCGCCCCCCCCCATCCCCCCGCCCCCATCTCTACCCCGCCCCGCCCCACCCCGCGCCCACCACCCCCGTGTCAGGGGCGGTTCGGCCGCATTTTTTTTTCCTGGCACGCTGAACCTCGCAACTATTGGCTTTTGCTCGCTTTAATGGGGAAGGGGTGCACGGGGGATGGGGGAGTCGGGCGCGACCCTTGCGGCTCAGAGGCCGAGCCCCCCCCCCCCACTTCGATCGCGGCTGTCGAGTTTCTTGGGGCCCCCCCTCCAGCCCCGATAAGAAGACTGACCGCTCGGCGTGCATGGTGGCCTGCTCTCGGCCCCCAGGCGGGCTCCCCTTATAAGGTTCGCAGGAAACCCAGTCAGGGCCTTGCATGCAAAACAATGTGTTCCCCGTCTTCCCTCCCCCCCCCCTGCCGATCACTCCTCGTCGTTCCTCGGGTGCCGCGGGGACTTCGACGCTTAAGCCGCGGTGCGCACGGATCGCGGGGGGGGGGGGGAATGGGGGCCCCCTAAATCGGTTTTCTTCTTAAGGGCTCTTTTGTCAGGCCAGGATTCTTGCGGGGGGGTTGGCGCCATGGCGATTGCTTTGGGATGGGCTGGTGCGGGTGCCCGAAGCTAGAAAAGTTATGAGCAGTTATGACAGTTAGAAGAACTTATAAAAAGTTATAAAAAGTTATGAAAAGTTATGAAAATTACAAAAACATATAAAGCTCGCGTAAGTGAGTTGTGAAAAAAATGCAAAGCTAATTCTGGCAAGTTTTTATAACTCCTCAGAACCGAACTTATAATCTCACAAGACCCAAACTCACGAAGCACCGGGTCACCGGGTCACCGGGTCAAGGGGTCACCGGGTCAGCTGACCCACACCGGGTCACCGGGTCACTGGGTCAGCTGACCCAGCCCACCGGGTCACCGGGTCACCGGGTCACCGGGTCAGCTGACCCAGCCCACCGGGTCACCGGGTCACCGAGTCACCGGGTCAGCTGACCCAGCCCACCGGGTCACCGGGTCACCGGGTCACCGGGTCACCGGGTCAGCTGACCCAGCCCCACCGGGTCACCGGGTCACCGGGTCAGCTGACGGGTCACCGGGTCACCGGGTCACCGGGTCAGCTGACCCAGCCCACCGGGTCACCGGGTCACCGGGTCACCGGGTCACCGGGTCAGCTGACCCAGCCCACCGGGTCACCGGGTCACCAAGTCACCGGGTCACCGGGTCACCGGGTCAGCTGACCCAGCCCACCGGGTCACCGGGTCACCGGGTCACCGGGTCACCGGCCACCGACCCAATTTAAAAAAAAAAAAAAAAAAAAAAAAAAAATCTAGTTCACACGCACTCAGAGATCCGATGTCTTGATTGTTTCAGTGCGGGGTCCCCAGGGATCCGGACCCTTTCCCCGGAACCCTTCCCTGGGGCCGTCTCCTCAGTCTGACGGCCCTGGGGCATGGCGAGGACCCTCATGAGCCCGAAAATGGCGAAAAACCATCGTCTCGATTCCGTTCAAGATGTTGGATGTATGGTTGCGTGTTTCGTTGCCCCTGGCCTCTCTTTCGGAACATCCATCGGCGACGACGACCCCAGGCATCCGACGATGTGATTCTTCAGTCCGCGGCCCCAGAGATCCCGGCCTCTTTCCAGAGGCCAGTGTCCCGTCCCAGACCCGCCTGGCCTCAGGGACCGATGAACATGTGGTGTTCTCCCCTTTTTATTTAACTCCTGGGCCCCCAGAAGCTCAAACACTTTCCCTGGGGCCAGTTCTTTACCCCGAACCATTCTGTTGACGGCCCCGAGGCCCGGCGGGGGCCCCTGGATGCCGAACACTGCCAAAAGCCAGCCGTCGCGCTCTCTGCTCACGACGCGAGGCCAGTTCGGGCTGCGCACCCCCGACAACTTCTCGGACCGTCCCTGAGAGCCGACGTCGCGAAAAACTGAAGCATCGTCCAGCGCCGTGTTTCGAGCCGTGGGCCCCAGGGCCCGAAACCAGGCGACAACGCTCGGTGTGAAACAAAAATGGAAACAAAAAAAACACAAAAAACACGCCCGGGTCTCAGTTCTCGGGCCCTCTTTTTGTTAAGCAGCAGCGTAAGAATAGCTTGGCCCGATTCATCCGTGGCCGGAGTTTCGACCGCAGTCGCAGGACAGCAATGCGAAGAGCATGAAGGTGACCGGCACGCTGGGCGAGGCGAGCTGTGCAAACTATCGCTGTCCGCTCCCTTCTCCTGCTCTTCCTCCAAAGCAATTCTCGGACCCCTGGTGTGGAACAATGGCAACGCCCAGATCTCAAGGGTCGCCCCTAAACATGTGATGTCCTGACGTTTTCAATACGGGTACCCTGGGATGCCCCGACCCTTTCCCCAAGGCCAGCTTTCCGACCCGAGCCTGTTTTCTCGACCCTGGGGCCCGGCGAGGGCCCCCGGAGGCCGAAAACGGGCATTAGCCTCCCGTCGCGATTTTTCCACGACGCGAGCATGTCTGGGATCGGTTCGTTCTGTGCCACTTCTCGACCCCGATCCCATCTGCCTGCACCATTTCTGCCAGGGCCCCGGACCCCGAAACCCTTCCGCGTGAAACCAAAAGATGCCACGCCCGGATCACAGGGAACTCCTCGGACCGTCGTCGGCGTCGTGGGACGACGGCGGGCCGACCTCGTCCTGTCGTCGGCGTCGGCGTCGTGGAACCATGGCAGACTGGCGTCGGCGTCGTGGGATCGTCGTCGGCGTCGACGTCGTGGGACCGCCGTCGTCGTCGTCGTCGTGGCACCGTCGTCGTGGCACCGTCGTCGTGGCACCGTCGTCGTCGTCGTCGTCGTCGTCGTCGTCGTCGTCGTCGTCGTCGTCGTCGTCGTCGTCGTCGGAGCCGTCGTCGTCGTCGGAGCCGTCGCGGGACGGCGGCGGCGCGCCGCGGCGCGCCGCCTGGTGGCCCGACCTCGACCCCGCCGGCGCCCGCGGGCGCCCGCCCCGCCACCGCC